TGCACATAAGTAAAGATATTCATTTTCTGAAGCCTGTGATGGGAGTAGCAGGCCCAATGATCTCCAAAATGACTTTAGGGTTATTCTTTCCTGGTCTTGGTGAACAGTACCTGGCTTCTGCCCAACCATACCAATCTCCTTATAACATGTGAACATTCATTCATTCAGCCACACCATTGGTGTTCTCTCCCAAACACACTTCTTCATTCTTTAAAACATGGCCAGGGTGACAATTTTCGAAATCTTTAAAAGTATAGTTAGGGCTGATTGCTAAGTGGAAGCTACTCTTAACCCACTTACGCCTAGTATTCCATTCTTGGAACGCTAAGCATGTGGGAGTTATTTATATGCTGCTGCTCAAGGTCATTGCCAAGGTCTGATTGTAATTTAAAAAATTGCAACCTCAGGCATAAATGGGTTAAAGGATATTCTAATTGAGCCTAGCTTTGAAGGATAGGGGCCTGGGATATGCCTCATTAGGGAAGGGTGAAAGTACTGGAGCTCCTTCAACTAGCAGGACTTCTGCCAGCAGATTGCCTTTGGACTCAAACTGTAACTCTTCCCTGGGTCTTCAGCCTATGGGTATACTCTGCAAATTTTGGTCAAGCCACAGTCACATGAACCGTTTGTGTGTGTGTGTGTGTGTGTGTGTGTGTGTGTGTGTGTGTGTGTGTGTGTGTTTCTGTCTCTCTGGAGAAGTCTGACTCATCAGTGAGTATGGTCTATAGATTTTTAAAGTTAAAAAGATGTTAACTAAGAATTACATGCCAAACCAAGCTGTATTTCACTTATCATAAGAACAAAGATTCTTAAGCATATGAGAGTTCAAGAAGTGAATGAAATCTTTAGATCTTCCTGAAGTTTGTGTTAAAAACATAGTGTACCTAACTAAAAAAGTGAATAAACATAAAAAGTCATAAAAACCAGGAAACTACAGAAAAAAGTACTAATAGTGAGCAATAAATCAATTTAAACACAATTTAAATAACTGGCAAACATGATTACAAAACCAAATATAACTGTTTAATCTTTCAAAGAAAGCTATATAATATGAAAATAATTATGTAATGACTATAAACGATGGAAACATGACAATACAACCAACAAAAACTGCTAATTAGGCCAGTAGTATAGTTTTATTTTCATTTTATAAGAAGGAAAAAAGCAAAAGCATTTTTTAAAAAAAGAAACCAAGTATACAATAAATATAAATGAAATAAATTAATATGTATGAATGTATGAATTCATTTTTTTTTTTTTTTTGAGACAGTCTCACACTGTCAGCTGGGCTAGAATACAATGACACGATCTTGGCTCCCTGCAACCTCTGCCTCCCAGGTTCAAGCGATTCTCCTGCGTCAGTCTCCCAAGTAGCTGGGATTACAGGTGCCCACCACCACACCTAGCAATTTTTGTAGAGATGGGGTTTCACTATATTGGCCAGGCAAGTCTCAAACCCCTGACCTCATGATCCACTCACCTTGGCCTCCCAAAGTGCTGGGATTACAGACGTGAGCCACTGTACCCGGCCACCCTTTTCTTTGTATTTTATGTTTATGATTTTGTCTCACTGCCCTTAAGTATACCTTTTTAGCAGATACATAAAGGCCTAGGGCAGTTTTGTATCCTTAGTGGTTTAAATCTGTCACCTTGCTCTGGTTTAAATGTGTCACCTAGAATTCATGTGTTGGAAACTTCTCCAATGTGACAATGTTATGATGCAGGGTCTAATGTAAGCATTTCAGTCATGAAGCTCCACCTCATAAAGAGATTAATACCATCATTATTAAAAAGCCTCTAGGAATAGGTTCGATCTCCTACTCTCTTTTTGCCCTTCCACCTTTCACCAGTTGAGGACAAAGCACACCATCTTGAAATCAGAATCACCAAACCTGTCAGTGCCTTAATATTAGAATTTCCAGGCTCCAGAACTGAGAGCCAGAATACCCAGTCTGTGGTTTCTGTTACAGCAGCACAAACCACCAAGACACACCTATATCAATTATATTCATTACTTATTTAAATGTTTAAGGAGCACAGTGAGCACAGGTAACAATGCAAAACCTTGGCTACAGTAAATATAGTAAGACATTAAAAGTAACAGCAAAACAGCAATTAATTTTGCACCAACCTAATCCTGCTTTTATGGAATTTAAAGTCTAATCAGCAAAATATAAAACAAAATATTAGCAAAGATAATACAGCAATACATTAAAAAGGGAAGAGCTGCACTCCAGCTTAAGCAGCAAAGCTGGGCTGTATCACTTAAAACAAGTAAAACAAAACAATACAAAACAAGTAAGGGTGGTTTCTTCCAGGAATGCAGGCACAACTCAATATTACGAAGCATTCACATAATTCGCTAAATTATTAAATCGAAGGAGTAAGGCCATTTTGGCTAGCATCATGGGTGCTAAATACACATTTTACAAAAATCGCAAACATAACTGGTTTTTTAAAACCTTTACAAAACGTAAATGTATTAATTTTTCTGGCTCACACCTATAATCCCAGCACTTTGGGAGGCTGAGGGGGGTGGATCACAGGAGAACAAGGTTCGAGACCAGCCTGGCCAATATGATGGAACCTCATCTCTATTAGAGGTACAAAAATTAGCTGGGCATGTTGGCACACACCTGTAATCCCAGCAACTCAGGAGGTTGAGGCATGAGAATCACTGGAACCCAGGAGGCGTGGGTTGCAGTGAGCTAAGACAGGGCTACTACAATCCAGCCTGGGCAACAAAAATAGACTCTGTCTCTAAAAAGGAGGGAAAAGAAAAAGAAAAAAGAAGAAGAAAAAGTAAAAGGGAGGGAAGGAAGGAGGGAGGGAGGGAGGGAGGGAGGGAGGGAGGGAGGGAGGAAGGGAAAGAAGGAAGGGGGGGAGGGAGAGAAGGAAGGGAGAGAGGGAGAGAAGGAAGGGAGGGAGGGAGAAAGGGAAGGAAGGGAGGGAGGGAGGGAGGAAGGGAAAAAGATAAAGGAAAGAAAACAAAAGAGAAAGAAACAAAGAACAAGAAAGAAAGAAAGAAAAAGAAAAGAAAAGAAAAAGAAAGAAAGAGAGAGAGAGAAGGGAGGGAGGAAGGGAGGGAGGAAGGAAGGAAAGAAATTAATTTTTCTTAACATGGAAAAAAAAATCCTGTATCATGTTTAGTGATCAGATACTAGCTTTTCCATTAAAATCAGAAATAAAAATAAGGATTACCACTATCCAGGAGACCCCAAAAATATAACCCAAATGTAAGCTAATCTTCAAAACTGAACTGAATCCAATTAAACTCTTCCCATGTGTAGTGAGTAAAAGCCTAGAATTTCAAATAAACACTGGGGATTCCATCCAGGCGGGTAAGTAAAAGAGCAAGTGGCTGATGGCTTTTCTAAGTATTTTAGGATCTAGTCCTCTGGTCACCCTTGCCTTTTACCTTGGACTGGCTGTGTCTACATATGGAGGATAATTCAAAAAGTAAGAGGAAGTTCTGCTATCCAAATAGGAACTACTCCACAACAGTAATGCACTCTTAAAGAAGCTGGATATACAACAAAAGGGAAAGTAAATTCCCAATAAGGGATTCAGGTTGAGGGAAGGGTAGCTACTAAGGACATTAAATAAAGCCACTCACATTTCAAAAACTTGAGAAATTGGTTGGAAGGAAGAAGATCTGGACCAACAGGAAGACAGACAACTAATATTTCAAGGAAGCATTCAGACCCACAGTATGAAGACTGCTGGATAGAAAGGTTAGGTGTGTAGAAACGCAACTCTATTGCCTATCTGATTTGGCAATCACGGTCTATGCTTACTCTCACATTTTATCTAAAATCAGAAATAAAAAGGGTATGTGGTCCATAATTATTTTTTGTTGTGGTTTAGTGACAGTAAATAAAAGAGATCCCATACATAATTTATAACATATCACTAGTCTATTAAAAAACATTAAAAGAAAGCAAATCCAATGAATAAAACAAAAACATAATAGAAATGATTTTGCCTTTCAATTTAATGTGGAAGAATCTTTCCTTATGTATCTAACATGATACAATTTTAGACATTGTTATTACTCTGAATAAATTCCAAATAGTCTTTCAACTTAACCACGAATCTCCAATCTCTAGTCACTAACTCTAATGCTCAGAAAGATCCAGAGAAATGCTCCTTGCTTTTCTTTCTGACCTCATTAGAGCTACAACTAATTACAATTAAACTCATCAATGAATCTGAACCTCATGAAAATCTATGGAAATTAAAGTTGCTCCCTTCATCCTAACTTGGGCATCATAAAAAGTATTTTGAACTGATAAAAATATAACATACTAACCTAGTTTTATAAAATTATTTATATGTAGATGCTTATAATTTGACTACTAGACCAAGTAGCAAGATATATGAGATAGAGAAAAAATCCCAAATTTGGGTTTAAGTTAACTGCTGATGTGCTGTTATCAGACAATAACAGTGCAAGAACTACAATCTTTTTACTTGCATATCTTAATAACTGAAAGAAAATAAGAAGGATGTTTTACAAAAGAGCATCTTACAAAAAGAGTAGCTCTGTCTAACAGGTAATGAGGGTCCCTTTCCATAAAACAAAACACATGGAAAGAAACAATAGGGAAGGGAAATAGAAACAGCCAGGTTTTTGACTCTAAGGTCATATTAAGGATTTATCAAAATAAGTGCACCTATGTTCAAATGCAACAATAAAATCCATTTCAGAGACAATATTAGTCCGTTCTCACACTGCTATGAAGAAATACCCAAAATTAGATAATTTATAAAGAAAATAGGTTTAATTGACTCACAATTCCACAGGGCTCGGGAGGCCTCAGGAAACTTACAATCATGACAGAAGGCGAAGCAAACATATTCTTCTTCACAAAGGGGCAGGAGAAAGAATCGCCAAGCAAAGAGGAGAAAAGCCCTTTATAAAGCCATCTGATCTTGTAACCAGGTGACAGGAGCAGGGCTGTGGGGGTGTCCCAAAGACGCTCACTGTTCCCTGATAGGATGTGTTTTCCCAGGTCCTTGGGCCTCACCCAAGAATGAGGGAGAGGGCCCTGGTGGCACGGTGAGCTCATTCAAGTAAGTATCGGACCCAGAGAGTTTTGCTGAAAGCGATTTATTAGGGACATGGTGGGGCGGAGAGGGGGAGAGAGAGAGAGAACAAGAGGAGAGAGAGGAGAAAGAGAGAGGGGAGAGAGAAAGAGAGAGAGGGGAGAGAGAAAGAGAGAGAGAGAGGGGGGAAGAGAGAGAGAGAGAGAGAGAGAGAGCGCCAGCGAACACATGGGCTCTCACGCTGTCATGGGAGGGGGTCCAGAGACAGAGTCCCTATAGGTAAGGGAGTAGGGGGGATTTTAATCCCGGAGTTAATCCCACCCCATTCAAGTTCTGGTCCAGTGAGAGGAGCTTTACCAAAACTTTCTCTAGAGTGATTGGTCTTCGACTCTGATATTGGATTGGTTGCCTAGCCAGCAATTGTAGCCTCCTCCCTCGGAGCTTTTGGCGGGCTTTCTAAACAAAGGAAGTTTACCTGGGCTGTCTACCTTTCCCAGGCGGGAAAGTTAGACAAAGAACTCTAGGTTCCTGGAAGGGGAGGTGGATGGAGGCATGGCCCTGGGAAGTTCTTGCCTTTGAAACCACGCCCCTTGTCGACCTGGGAAGAGAAGTTAACATAGTCCCTCAATCTCATGAGAATTCATTCACTATTACTAAAACAGCATAGAAGAACTGTCCCCATTATCAAATTACCTCCCATGAGCTCCTACCCCCAACACATGAAGATTACAATTCAATATGAGATTTTGGGTGGGGACATAGCCAAACCACATTATGGATAATATATTCATTATCTAGATTTTCAGAGGCAGCACAGAAGTCAGGAAGCCTAAATCCTTTCAGTCATTTTGTTTGTTTTTCTAAATATACAAGTACTACCCTACTCACTGAAAACATCTGGAAAATAAAAGAAGGTAAGAAACATCAAATGGACAATCTGACTGCCAAGAGATGACAATTTATATCAGTCAGGTTTCTTACTTACAAATACCAACCAATCTGGCAAATTTAAATAGAATAGGACTTAACTGTGGCTCACACCTGTAAGCCCAACACTTTGGGAGGCCAAGGCAGGCAGTTCGCTTGAGGTCAGGAGTTTGACACCAGCCTGGTCAACATGGCGAAACCCTGTCTCTACTAAGGATACAAAAATTAACCGGGTATAGTGGCACAGGCCTGTAGTCCCAGCAACTCAAGAGGCTGAGGCAGGAGAATCACTTGAACCTGGGAGGTGAAGGTTGGAGTTAGACTCCATCTCAAAAAAAAAAAAAAAAAAAAAAAAAAGAACAGGATTTTATTATGCAGCTCACAAAATCATTGAGAGGATTATAGAAACAAACTTAAAGCTAAACTTCCAGAAGCAATATCCAAAGCTAGCACAGAAGGCCTGATGAAGATGATGCTTTCTTACTTTTACTATCCTCAAATGCCAAGAAGTCAACTTGATTGCAACTGCTACTGCCACCAATGCCAACACCACTAATGCATCAAGAATGTGATCTCAGCCAGGTGCAGTGGCTCACAACTGAAATCCCAGCATTTTCAGAGGCCAAGGCACAAGGATCACTTGAGCCCAGGGGTTTAAGACCAGCTTGGGCAACATGGTGAGACCCTGTCTCTACCAGAATTAAAAAAAGAAAAAAGAAAAGGAATGTGACCTCACAACCACTGGAAAACTCATGCTGCTGCAGCTACTCTCATAACCAAAAGCAAGACACATTTGCCACCACTCATACATCAAAAATGGAGATTTGACATAGAGCCCCTTCCTGTCACTTGTCAAAATCTCACTCACAGATGGCTCTGACCTGAAAAGAAGAGGTCATTTGTCTGATGTCTAGCTGCAAGGGAGACTAGCTATTATACACATACACACATTTATTTAAATATCCTAACAGGAAACACAAGTTCTAGATCAGAGACAGACTTTTAATTATTCACAGAGCATCTTATGCCAGTTCCCCAGTTCCCTGTGGTGCAAAACAGTGAAAGCAGATGTCATCACCTGCTTGTACAAGAGTTGGAAACAAAGGAAAGGAACTCTGAAATTATACAATGCAGAGCTTATATAGGAACTGCCAGCATATATGCTCCTCCTATCCTTCAGAGAGAATGTAAACAAATCCTCTCTGTGGAGAGAAGAAAGTGGTCTCTAGGTTTTTAAAACCCTTGAATTATAAGCAAATGACTCTGGGTTTTATTGTCATTAGAATGCAAACTAATGGCTTCTTTAGGTCTTCCACCTTTAGAATGTGAACAAATGGCTCTGGGTCAATACACAATCTCAAACTTCAAAGGCATGTGTACCATTCATATATCCTTTAATGGAGGGGCCAGATACATTAAAATATTCACAGACTATTGCTTCCCCATATGAGAGATTTACAATCTGAGCTGTAATTTGTTTCCTATATAAGGTTCATAACAAGGGAATTCCCAGAAGATGATGATAGCCATGCATATGATAGATGTCTACCACATCACTGTTTAAATATTTTGATGTTTCTTATTCCTGTTTTTTCTTCTACCATCTATGTTTATACTGAACCAAAGATCATTCATATTTATACTATATGTATGTTTGAAATTTTATTCTCATATAATTAAATTATCCCACAAACAGTGGCATTTCATACTTGAATAAATCTTAGACATAAGCCTTACATCAAAGATGTATTAATCTAAAGCTGGATTGTTTAAAATGGTGGTAGAAAACGAGGATCCCCACCAATTAGTCTCCTTTCTTTGTTTTATTATATATTACAATGTAACAAAAATAGAAATAAAGTACACAACAAATGCAATATGCTTGAATCATCCCAAAACCATCCCACAACCCACCTCCAGTCCACGAAAAAAACTGTCTTCTACAAAACCTGTCCCTGGTGCCAAAAAGATTGGGGACCGCTGGTTTAAAACACTCAGTTTTTGGTATTTTGTTATAGAGGCCTTAAAGGACAAAAACTGAGCCCAAGCCAACTAAAACATATCTACATACATTGATTTCAAGGAATGCTCATATAAAAAGGAAAATTGGAGTATCATCTATATTACATTGTCATCCTTTCTCTTTTTTAGAAAAGAGATAAAGGGCTGGGCAAGGTGGCTCACACCTGTAAACCCAGTACTTTGGGAGATCAAGGCAAGCAGATAACGAGGTCAGGAGGTTCATACCAGCCTGGCCAATATGGTGAAACCCTGTCTCTACTAATAATACAAAAATTAGCTGGGTGTGGCGGTACACACCTGTAGTCTCAGTTATTTGGGAGGCTGAGATAGGAGAATTGCTTGAACTTGGGAGGCGGAGGTTGCAGTGAGCCAAGATCAAAACACTACACTCCAGCCTAGGCGACAGAGTGAGGCTCCATGTCAAAAAAAAGAGAGAGAGAGAGAGAGAGAGAGAGAGAGAAAGAAAGAATCCTATACCTGTGAATACATATTATTTTGGTATATATGAAAGGAAAAGTTCTGGAAGCAAACACAACATACTTTTAACTCTAAATACCTAAAGGTATAGGTAGGGAAGTACAGGTGTGAGGTTACCTAGAATGGGAGCAGAGATTAACTTTTGCTTTAAGCATAGTTCACTTTAAAGGTTTCAATACACAGATTAAGAAAATGCACATCTTCCTAATCCTTTTTTTATTAGGCATTTTTAAATTAAAAATGTACTTTGGATTTTATCTAATTCTTCAGCATCAATCAATGAAATCACAATTTCAAAAATATTGAACTAAACTGTATTTCTATAAAAGATGGTTCTAACTCATAAAACATTATGTTTTTATGCAGTGATAGATTTTATTGGCCAGGATACTATTTAGAAATATTATAGCTATGTTCATAAGATTAGTCTCTTTATATCTATGTGTTATTGTCAATTTTTTATATTATTATGCTACATTCATAAAGCAAATGGGAGACTGTTCTTTTCTTTACCATGACCTGGGTTAGTAAACTTGGATTCAAGTTTCCTATCTGTCACTAATTATCTATGTAACCCAGTAAGAAAAGTGAATTCACAGTTAAGAATTCAATAAAGAATGGATGGAAGTATGGAGGCATGGAATTCCATGTCAAGATCTCTGATAACCCTTTTTAAATTATACTTTTGCATGCAGGAAGATCATAGTTCCTATTATATCCTGTTCTATCACACAAAATCATACACTCAATAGAAGCAAATGTTCTTTCAAGTTAACTCAAGTTCTATTTGTAAATACTATCTACAACTTCAGAGATAAGCCTCTTAGCCTGTGAGGTGTACACAGCACCCCAAAACATAAGCCAGAAAGATCCAGAGGTGTGGATATATTCTACCAACAAAATTATAAATACTATGGAAAGGTAAAAAGGTAAATCCCGGGATTTCCTCTCTGACATCCCCTTCCACACTCTTCATGGAAGTTTTTGGGTTTTTTGTTTGTTTGTTTTGTTTTGTTTTGTTTTGTTTTGTTTTTCTAAAAGTAAACCCCTTGAGAGGCTGAGACAGGAGGATTGCTTGAAGCCTGGAGTTCAAAAGCAGACTAGGCAACATAGCGAGACCCCCTTATCTGAAAAAAAAAAAATGTTTAAAAATTAGTCAGGTGTGGTGGTACACACCTGCTGTCCCACCACTGAGGTCAGAGGCTGAGGTGGGAGGATCGCTTTGAGCCCAGGAGTTGGAAGCTGCATTAAGCTATAATCATACCAGTGTACTCCAGTCCAGGCAACAGAGCAAGACCCCATCTCTTAAAAAAAAAAATAGTAAATACAACAGCCTATTCAAAATCAACATAATGAGACTGTGTTAAAATGTAAACCAACTCTGAATGCTAACAGAGATTTTAAAAACTGAAGTTTTGGATAAAATAAAAAGAATAATGATGTATTTGGCAATAGATCAGATATACAACACAAAGCAGTCTGTAACAGCTCTATGTGGACACCAGAAAAAGTTTTCATAAAAATGTTTTACCCAGTGAGTGCTCCCAACACCGCTCTGCTTATCAAGTGAGAAATTAAGCTATAGTGTACATTTTAACAGCAGTAGAGTAAGGATATGCAAATACTCCATGAAAATATGTTTATGAAGAAAGCCAGGAGCCTCTGCAAACATTTCCATATTCACCTTGGATTTATTCCCAGCAAA